ACAATTTTTTCTTTAATAAATAAGAACACTAATTTTTGTTAAAAATCTTAAGCAAAAATAAATAAATTCTAATAAATTAAAAAAAAAGTAGTGCGGGCTTTAAGTTTATAACCCTAAAGACAGTGTCAACCCTGAAAAATACAGAGAGATAATTTAATAAGAAAAAAAAAAATTAGTGTTATAAATTAAAAAAAAAATTATTACTAAAGAACGGCTGGATGTCCCAGTTCATAATTTTGCACAAAATTTATATTCTGTCTACAGAATATTAAAAAAATTCCGTAACACCGATATCGATGGGGCTTTGGTCAGGAAAAAACATTTTGTGTACTTTTTTTTTTTTGAAAACAGGTTTAGATTACTCAAAAAAAATTGTTTATTATATTTTTATTGTAGATACTAAAACAACACAAAACTTTCATTTTTTATAATTTTTGATACGATGCACCGTCTCTGGGATATCTATGTTCAAAATAAAAACGACCGAATCCACCACGTAGCACACCAGATAAAATACGGGTGGCTGAAGTGTGATTGAATCGCTCATATACATATGACTATTTTAATATTCGCCGACATGTTAACTCATAGTGTCAACGTAGCGTTGACTAGCTATGCCTCTTGTTCTTCATAATTAATTTTCACGTCAAGAACTGGAAGTTCTAGAAGTCATTAAAACTTCCCTCTATTGCGAATCTCATGGAGAACTTAGTGTCAAAATTTGGCTCTCATAGAAAATTCGCTATAGAATGAGCCGCATAAATAAAAAATATTTTAAAAAAATCAATATTCTACCTGTTCACAGGAAGTTCCATGCGTAAATCTAAATTCTCGCGATTCCATGAAATTTTCTATACTGCAGAAGATCTCAATATCTAGAATATAAAAATATCTTACCACGCAGACTGATCTCCCATATTATAAAGTATTTTTGAAAGTGTAAGAAATTTTTCATTGATCTGCCCAAATTAGATATTCGAAAATAACAACAGAATCCATTATAGCAATGTTCTGCTAAGTATTGAATAAAAAAAAGTAATTCAACGTTTTGATTAAAAAGCATCTATAAATACGACGAAAACCTGTGTAATGATGAGTTTAAAAAAATGTGAAGAAACATCAAAGTCACGGCAATTGAATAGATCCGAAAAAGATACGCGTGATTTACTATTGCTTGAAATTTCCAGTATCTTGGTCCATATCGATAATCGAAATATGTTTGTTTAGAGAACTCGAAGGATCTGCAAGTCAAGTTATGGGGGAAATAATAAAGTGCCATAAATATTTCGTTACACAACAGACCGATTCTATTTTAATGCGAATACCAAACAAAAAATGCAGGAACCTTATAAGAAGATTCCGGGTGGTTGGCTGCTCGGGTGACTAGATAATCAGGAGAAGAAGCGGTGGGGAAAGAGTTGCATCTGAAATCCTACGTTACGTATTCCGGATGCGTTAGCTCTAAAGTGTCCCAAGCTCAGGGAACCGCAACTGTCCGACGACGAGGATTCATACGTCTTCGCCAAGAGAAAGAGAAAGACGGATCCAAACGCATGTTGAATTCATTGAATAGTAGCTACTTCGCTGCCATTGCGGCTTTATCCACTTCCGCAACTTCGAATAGACTTCCTCTTACGTAAACGTTACGAACCATTCGGCTCGTTAGAGATACTCAAATAGCAATGAGTCAGCGAAGAAATTGGAATCGAATTGCAATATTTTGATTTTAACGTGTTAAGGGGTACACATGAGAACCTTTTGATTGTTTTCGCCAAAGGGGAGTCAACATTAAAAAAGGTATCTTATTGAAGACACATAGGTAATTGTTATCGTGGAGTTGATTTTTCTCTGGGGAAACGTCGAAGCGTATAAAATTGAACCGTCGCAAAGTTCATTGAAACATAATAGAAGTGACGGATACATTCTTACCCTCAAATGAGCCACGTTAGAACGAATGCTAAGCTGCGTTGTAATTGTGTAAAATGTACGGAATGCCAGGACAGACCTTAAGACAGTTCGGAATGTGAATTATTCGTACAAGAAGGGTGAACTGGCGGAATTTCATTCTCGAAATTTCGTGAGCTCGATGAAACTTTGCAAAATCTCGACCGATGCTCAGACTGTCATAGACAAGAAGCGCCGCTGGGAAAGACAAAGAGGGGACTTCGAGTTTTAACAAAAAGGTTCCAAACTTTTAAAAAAAAGGTGGTCCGGTCAAACCACCTCAACCTTGGCTCAAACTTATACTGTTAGACACTGTCTTTATACATGAGTGCTGCACAAGGAACTCGTACACGATCACTTTCACGAAAATTGCAATAATCGATAAATATAACACACGATGCCGTATTCCACATATGGGATAGATAAAACAAGAATTAAAGAGAGTATTATTGATTATGAATAAAGGAAGTAAAAGAAAAACCTATTTGCTGTTGAAACAAAAAAAAAGATCAAATAATCCTCGGATCATTTAGTCCGGACGGCAAACGTATCTCAATTCTCCCATTGCTCAAGATGGTGGATTGTGTGCTGGGAACGACGTTGCTCAAGGGTATAGTAGTGGTGTAGCAATCGAGGCAAGAGCGATTCTTTCTAAAAAGGCGTTCCCCTCGTTCTTTACCTAAGTGAGTGGATCTTGCTAGAGTGTGCGTATCTAATGTAGGGAAAGTAAAGATGGGCCGATCGAATCGATTCACTCAGAAAAGTCAGTCGGCCGGCCCTACTCTAGGAAATTAGCCGTCATAGCCGTCGAGAGGGTACATACTACATTCTCGACAGTACATACTACTTTCGGCGACCCGTTTCCTCCTTCCCACCATCTCCCTCTCTCTCTTACTATATCAAACTGTAGTCCTATTGCTTCAGCCTAACTCCACCCTGATCCGCAAATATTGACGAGCTCGTAACAGCTCCTCGTAAAAATCACTTGATTATAACCCCTCCCTCACCACCTAAGTGATAGAGGATTCTTAGAGGATTCTGTCCCGATTACTATACCAGAGACTATCTCCCTATCTGTTTTTCTCTCCTTCTCTTGTTTTCTCTCTCAATAAGACTGACAATACAACTCATTTACCTGCGAAGTGGTATATTGTCTTAAATGATTTTCAATTGCGATCATTTGATCCTCGAACAATTCTTCTGAATTGACGAGCCAGAATTGATGTTTCAGAAAATTTTTACAATTTAATGCGAAAATGCTTAAAGGAAATCGAAGATATTAGAATAATAATGAATTCATCTTTATCCTCATTATTTTGATTATATTTTCAGTCAACATAAATGAGATTGATAATTTTTCACGTAAATTATAATAAATTTGCGATAAAAAAAATTTATGTAATTTATATTCATCAGTGTAACTGGCATAATAATACTGTATTAAATAACTAGGATACTATGAGAGAAATTATGTTTAGACCATTATAGATCGATTGCGTAAATTACGTAATCTTTATTAGGAATCGAATCGCAAATTCCCTGCTTATCGCTAATTCATAATTCTGCCGATAAACGATATATTTTCGTCTTGTGTTCATTGACCATTAGTAGAATCAATACGGTTAACCTTTTCATTTATCTTTGTCGCTTCGTCCGATATAGTCAACTATCTCGGATTCCATAATTCACAGTTTGCCGCGCGGCGCGCCACCATCGAAATGTCCCCTTGTGTGAAATTAATATAATTTATTGGTCATTTTATGAGAGTCGCTATTTTTATTGGAAACGAACGAAGGAACACGAAGCACGAGTGATAGTTGGTCCTGTCGTAAAAAAAAGGGTGCAAGATAGAAAGATAGAAAGACACAACGATAGCTTTGCTATGTGGACGGATAAAGGTTCCCTCGTTCGGATAATCATAATGATACTTTCCGACGCGCAACTTTATATCCTCTCCCAAGCACTCGGCCAATTGCTCTCCCAGTTCTTCACGCTTCTATTTTTACAGTTCTCATGACAAATGCTGAGTATTATTTGTCACGAATATTTCGAAATTTTCTATTCACCTAGCTGGCTCTGCATACAAGGTTTATCTGCTTGACAAACGATAGGCAGTCGCTTAATAAATCACGTCCGTGTTCCAGCTATACGTGAAATACTGTGCTTATATCTATAGAATTGTTTGTGAATAAATGCGTAAGAAGACGCATTAAAACAGACTGAAATAAATACACGTCTTGCGAAGACCAATGAAATATCAAATGGCCTATTCAACGTCTGTACTGACATCGGTTGTCCACTCGACGCTATTGTTCGACTATCATTCTGCCGAGGGAACGATACTTTTCGTACGTGTCCTAATGACAATACATAGGACGCCTGTCAGTTACACGACGTGAGCGGAGATAATAGAGTATGTAATCGGAGATTTTCTTATCGAGAATGATGCTTCCATTATTGTGACAATGAACAAAATGGCAAGCGGCATCTTTCGAAACGGCCACTTTCTCAGTATATTTTTTGGTCTTTTCGGTAAAATATTTAACCTTTTTTTTACATAGGTATACATTTGCCGTCCACGCGAGTACCACTTCTACTTTAACGTTTTGTTGACTTGATCGTGCAACCATGTCGTTCCAGTGGTGTGTGCTATTGTTATTCTGCCCTATGTACGCAACTAACTGTTTGCCTTGCGTTACGAGGTTTGCTGTGACAAAATTACTTGCCAGGAAGCGCAGTCGCGCCCGCGGCGCATGATACGAATTTGACCCTCTGACCCCCATCATTTTATATCGCATCTCTGAACCCCACGTGAGAGTCGTGTTATACCTCAACTTTTTTCACATATAAATTTTGTTACATTTATTGTTCCTGAGCTTAATGGATAGTAACTGTTAAGAAAAACGTCTCCACATTACATTTACGACCGTTTAAAATTGGCCTGGGTTCTTTTTGCACCTCAGATGGGGTTCAACGGGGTATTAATTAGGGAGATTTATAATTTATGTTTACAAATAATGAAGATCATTCAATGGTTGATCTTGTTTTTGTTTCAGATTCTTCTATCTTTATCACTTTTCATTCTATGCTTATCACTACCGTTTTAATGGACAGTACAGCAGTTTGGCGCTAATTACGTCATGGCTTTTTATTCAGGTGAGAATTTCTTCTTTACTAACGAGCAGAAAGTGCAAAAGGTATTACTTGATGTAATAATATCGTCGATTTTAATCAAATTAAATTGTACCTTAATGTAATTACGTAAAAGTACTCAGTAGCACTCGGATACAGATAGTACCTGCTTATTGATATAATTCCCCAATGAGTAAAACTTGAGGTCTAGAAGACTTCTGTACATTTAAAGTCACGGGACGATCTCTCCTACAAAATATTTTCTATTCGCACGTGAAATACAGATGCAGCACACTCGTAAGGATTCTGTACTGCTTTACTCTGATATCTTTGCTTTCGTTGTCGTTAATGAGCCCAATTCTCAATCCGTCGTTGAATTTTTCATATAAACGGGACAAGAAATGTTTAATGAAAAGTACAAACGGCTTATTACTTGCTTGTAAAACGAGGCGACGTGAAGTCTCTATAAATTGAGTTATATCTGAGGAAGGAGCTGTCAAGTACCTTGTTGCGTTTACGTAATCTACGCTTAAGTACAGCTGTTCCGCACGTGCCATTCCCATTAATCGTGGAATCGCTGAATATTGGTTAAAGTATTACCCTTTATTCGTTTAATTTCGCTTGAGCGCCGAATCGTTGGAGTGAACTGTCCTAAATTTTGTATGCTGTTGACGTTGATGAAACTATAGTAACGCAAAATAATTTTTTATTTGCACGCATGTATTTCGATTTGAGTATCGCAATGCTATTTAAATAATGGCACTGATTTTCATTTAATGTATATAGATATACGCGTATATAAACGTGCAGTATAGAAATATTGCTTAATTATACATATTAGGAGTAACGTGATTTACGTGTTATGGCTGATTGATAAAATAGAAATAATTTAATTTCAATTTAGTACGCTTGTTTTTTTTCCTTTGGTAACGTATAAGATCGTCGGGGAAGATGAAAAAGATGAATTTAATATTATGTAGCTACATAAATCGGTCCTAGTACTTCATTATGTACGTATCAAAGTAAACGCTTCATGAATTTTATATTATTAAGGATAAATGATATTGTGTCAGAGTGATGAAATTTTCCAGTTACAGGTATTCGTACGAATCTGTGGATTCTGTTTAATTATTACGTACAAAGATTCCTCTTACGTTTAAATTTATTATCAAGAAAAATCGGTTATCGTTTAATTTAGTTTGTCATTTAAATCACTTCCGGCGTGGACCGTCTCATCGACATGACCTGATTTGCGTTAAACCGACAATTATTTCTCGTAACGCATTTACCAGCGACATTTACGTTACGGGATGATTTGATGCTTCGGGCTGTCGGCCGGGGTTTCCATTCTCGGGTCGAAGTTCGATCGATTAACGTCGAAACATCGTTATTGACGTCGACACTGAAAATTTCATTTTACTATTCGGGCCGACAGGTTAATGTCACGTTTTGATTTGTCTATTTTTCGATCTTTACTATAACCGACTCCACTTTTCGCACGCAGTTTTTTGTATTTCAATTTTCAATATACTTTCTTATCATTCTCACTGGTCATATCTAAACCCCAGATCGAGGCTCGTACCAAGTACGATGTCATCATTATAGGATTTAGATAGTCCAATTGTTACTAGGATGAATAAAATTAATTTAGAAGATAACGCTGTATTGTTGATGGCCGGTGGGAGG